GCCGTTGAGTCGTGTTGCATTTTACAACTTGGCCCAGCCTGACTTTTTTATTCATCCTGACCTGCTCTATATGCCTACAAAATTGCGTAGTTCTAGGCCAAATGTGCTTTTGACAATTTAGAAGGTGGCGCTGTGGAGCAATTTTTCTATTGAAGTGTGTATTGTTCTTCCAAATTATAAAATTTTTCACCGGGTGTGATGTGCATGGCAATTTTGGTGAGTTTTCGAGTATGTTTAGGGCCTCAAAAACGCGTCTCTTTGGCACGAATAATAATAACTATCCGAGCAGTTCCAATACGGTTTTCGCACCCTTTTGAGCGCTCGGACCCTATAAAGCGATTTTGATAAAATTTAAATTTTTCTTTTTGTTTTTCTTCCTAAAAGAACAGCGTATCACACAGGGTATGTTTACAGACTATTGAGACAGTTTTACAGTTTCTGACTGACACAAGGTATAATTTCAGCAAATGTATTTATTATTTTTTTTAAGCATGTCTTTCAAACCCAAAGGCAGAAAGTGGAGACACACATTTTCCTCAAGTAGAGTGCTTTAATTGGAAAATCCAAGAAGTTCAACAAAGCTCAAAGTGCTTCTATGTAGGAGTCAAATTACAGTCAAAAAGTCACCATACATTGAAAATATACAGTATAGCCTACTGCCATAATAAAAAAAGCAATTAGTGCAAAAACAATGAAAAAAGTAATTTAGAAAACATTATAAATCAAATCACATGCATTCATCTGTAAAAAAAAAAAAAGTATTTTGTATTTAGACAATATAAATGATAAAAATGTTGTATATGTAGTGGTTAACTGTTGGAATAGTTATTAGTACTTTAAAAAAAAAGTGTTTCAGACAAGAAAGAATTGTTGTAAAGTTATAAATGCAACTGGAGCAAAGAGATAAGATGAGGACAGATTTTCCTGCTTTCCCACTGCAGACTCATCCTTTCTTTGCTTTCCTCCACTTAAAGTAATACAGCTCCTATTCATGTCGTTTATGCAAATCCAGAATGAGTAAAGCCTCATTTTAAAAATGAGATTTACCTTTCAACATGGCGGTGACTAGTGTAAACATATAAATCAGAGTGAGTCTGGGCTGAGAGTGTACAGGCTGCAGTGGGACAGGAGGTGCGAGCTCCACTTATGAGAGGGTTCTGAATTTTTTGCCGTCGAGGGGTGACACCATCAGCCGTGCTGAGCCCGGCGAGTAGAGAGGCCGCCACCTGTTCCTCCAGAGGACCGTGAAGAATCGGGAAACAAACAGGATACAGGCCACCACCAGCAGCACCACTGAGGAGATTAGAAAAAACAGAACGGTGAATGATTAGGTCAGCGAAGTTAAAAAATGAAATCATGGCATTATTAGTTTTATATTAGTTTTTGCAAGTTACTGTCCTACTGAATTAAAAAAAAAAATCATGTACATAAGACTGCCTTGATAAAACGTCAAGCAAACTGATGACACGTTCTGATAAAAAAGGGTGTTCATTTGGATTTTTTCAGGGCTGCAGCCAGTGCTAATGACCTTAGATTTCACTGACTGCCTCTAGCTACTGGCTCCAAAAACACCTGGTCTGATTATTTCCCATTTCAAAAGTGCCACATTTTCCCTAGAAATGCAAGTAGACCAGTTTCTTTTTATACGGCATCTTGAAAATCGGGAGCTCATTTTGGGAAATTACAGCTTTATTAATGAGATTACAAGCCTCATACAAGGCTCTGATGTCGGCCATGTGGCTGCTGGTTGAGAGGTGTGATTGACAGTTGGCTCGTCTGATGTTCTCTCTCTGTCTAGTCTCCAACTGTTAGAGCTTCTGTTTAAATATTAAACAGATTTTCCTGCAGACTCACAGTTCTGCTGTGTGTGATTTAGGAGTTACACTAACAAAACCCTGACAGAATGCTGTCACAGAGCATGTTTGGAAGTCTAAGTTTATTGTACTTGATTAGGATACCCTGCCATACCCTCACAGTATAGCTCAAGTAGCTAATGTTAGCTCATAATGTGGACAAGCCAGCATTTTCAGTAAGCTAATCCTGCTTTGGTCACAGTGGCAACACCTAGAACTTTCTATTTGGAAGGTCCGAGCTTGACGGCACCGACCATATGCTGCAATCTGGGCTCAAAACGGACTCCCTCAGCCTGTCTAATACACTCAGTGTTAATGTTGTATTAACAAAACAGTAAACTCTACTGTTAAGATGAATGCAGGAAAGTTGGTTCATTTTGGTCATTAGGTTAAAGTTAAAAAAGAAATAATGTTAAACTCACGCATAAACACTGAATTAGGAGTGGGGTCATCCAGGTCAAAATGCTTGTAGACGTTTCCGACCAGAGCCACGATCACCACCGGGTAGACTGTCAGGATGTAGCGAACCCAGCGGTCCAGCACCCAGTTCTCAAGGATGAACCTGCACATAAAACAATCGTCAAACAGCTGTAAGGTCTATTTGAAACGTTGTCCCACATGATGTCCCTGGTGGCCAGATTGAGAAAATAAAAGGTTGATGGTGACAAAAGTATTTCTGGAGTGAGCCTTCATGAGCAGCTGCAGTGTTTAATTAAATTTATTATGACAGAGGTTCTAGAAATGTCACTGTGAGACTTCACAGCCACTACATGGAAACCACTAACAAGGGAAGTCAAAAACACTGATTAACTCACTACAATGACACCTGTCTCAGGGTGGGATATATCAGGCAGCAAGTGAACATTCAGGTCTTTAGGTTGATGTGTCGGAAGTAGGGAAAAGGGGGAGTGTGAGAATCTGAGCTGTGATGCACTATGTGTTCTGACACCTTTCTATCAGTTTGGGATAAAGCAGCTCTTCTTTCACTACCAGTGTGCCCAAATGAACCTTGGGTGCCCATGACCCTGTGGTTGGTTCGCTGATGGTACTTCCTTGGACCACCTTTCGTAGATACCAACCACTGCATACTGGGAACACCCCACAAGATCTATCATTTTGGAGATGCTCAGACCCTGTTGTGTGCCCACGCTCACCCCTCACTACCACTAATGCCTGCAAGCATCAGGACCTGAACATGGAGCAACCGAAGAAAATGGACTGGTCTGATGACTGAGAAGAAGGCAAGATGGTGGAGGCAGTGTGATGCTCTGGGCAACGTTTGGCTGGGAAGCCTTGGTCCCTGGCATCTATGTGGATGCTATTTTGACACATACTACCTATGTAAACAGTCTTGTAGACACAAGAACCTTTTCATGTCAACGGTATTCCTGATTGCAGGGATGTCAGATTAAGAAATTTGAAGACCAGGTCAACAAGTATTTCTGAACAATGGCTGCAGTGTGGCATTATCCTATCACACTGCACCTATTGTTCAGGAATTGTTTGGGTTCCTGATGCAGCAGGACAACTTCAGAAGTCTGTGGAATCCAGGTTTTGGCAGCATCTACACAATATTAGTCAGGTGGGTTTAATGTTGATTGGCCAATCTGTGTATAGTGAATCTTTATTTTTTACAATAATAAAATGGAATAGGATCACACATTTTCAGTAGCAATGGAAAAAAAGTCACTTTAAGCTTATTCATTTAAGTGACAGATTTGTCATAATATCTGCGGATAGAAGTTAAAAATACAAGAAAAGTAACCTGTTTCTATCCTTAAACTTGCCCAATATGACTTACCATATCACAACCTCTGCAAACAGGATGCACAGAGAGGCGGTCGCCGCTGTGCTCTTGTCCACACCCCACAGGTGGAGAACCAGTGAGAAATTGATCAGAGAAGCAATAGATGTCCATGTGGTGTAGACAGCCAAACCATTCTGGACCTGAACATGATGGCAGAAAAAAATTATTACACCCAGGAACCAGAGTTGATGTTTGTGTATGCACCCTCATTCTGTCCTACCAGTATTCTGAGACAGGCCAGGTCTTTGCGATGGTATGTCTGCAGCCACAGTCCATAGTAATCCGTGGCATAGCAAACGAAGAACAGAGCGCAGTAGTTGGAAAACGCTATGAGGATCAACAAAACCAGAGCCGCCAGCATCAGCCTGAAAGACAGAGAGAAAGACAGACAGGGGGACCATGAATGCCTCATATCAGCAGTGGCAAGGTCAATAGCTGATGACATAAGGACACTGGAGAGATAACTTACTCAAGTAATTCTACGTCTGGAGCTTTTTCCAAACTGACACCATCAGTCATAACATCCTACAAGTCAGACTTCAATTCCTCCAACAACATACAGAACACCACACTGATATGACTCAAATGCCTGATGATTTAAAACTGTATCACCTTACAGCAACTGAATTACTTCTGAGTTAAACAGTAGGGTATCTGCTCTGACGTCAAATCAAAAACTACTACATTAGATTTACGATATTAAAAATACAGGCCACACAGTAGGCACGCAATGCAACCAAACTCAGTACAGCTTTTGCAACCAATATTTAAATCTTGAATTTTTTTCCAACACATCATACGTCCACCTTCATTTTTGATGACAAATTCAATCCTGCAGCATGGACGATATCAGCGTGGCACAAGTTTCTGATGTTCTGCTGTTTTTAACGTCCATTCTTCAGGAACAATTTCTTTCAGCTGCTTTCTGCAGTAAGCACTGTGCTGCTCTACCTTCTTGTGTGATTTCACGGTGTGTTGTGGATCATTGTCATGCAGGAACATTCCTCTTCTACCAACCTTCTGCACACTTAGATTCCTCTTGTCAGGTATTCATTGTGATATCTATAAATGCCACCTCCCCATCTCTGTTTGCACTCTACCAGCCCATATTATCACATTTCCACTTTGCTTGACTGTCAGGACTACACATTCACTGTGGCAGTCCATTCAGGTTCACGTCAAACATGCTGGTCTCCATCTGAACCACACAAGTTTATCTTGATCTCATCTGACCAAAGAATGTGCTCCCAGTATTCATTAGGCTTCTTTTCATGTTCCTTAGCAATGTTTCATCTTACTTGCAGAGGGTTTCTTTGTGGACGCTATCTACAGAGACTGATGTTGAGCACTGTCCTTCACCCTGTCTAAGCTGTCACAGAATTACACTGATAACCATTGTGCAAAGTCTGACACCTTTCCCTCTGTTCTTGACACATTCACATCTGAACTTGACTGTGAAGTAGCGGATTATCCGTCCTGTCAGGAGGATTAATGCTGCAGCTCTGATTAGTGGTACTATGATTACTGCGACTGATTACTGCTGCAACTGTGCTTTCACAGATTTTCAGTTGGTCACAATCTTCCTGTATCTTTGTGATGTCTCACAACCACATTTTCACTGGGAATTCTTCACTCGTGGAGCCATGATGCAGACATGCAGAGAAAGTACTGGTTCTCACAGATCATTTTATAACCATGGTCATGCAATTCAGCTAATTAAAAATTAAAGGCGTACTCAGTTTTGTTTCAGTGATCACAGGTTATCCAACTTGTGTATCAGTGATCACGTGTATTCACTTCTGTTGCATTAACTTTCTAATTTAATGATATTGCAGAGGGGTGTACTCACTTCTGTTGTATATTGTGTTCCAAGCATCAGCTACTATGTTTTACTACATGGCCTAAGGTGCTTCCTTTTGCAGGTGATATACATTTTACTACTGTTAAACCTGATTGTAATTACTAAGGCAAAGAAACTAAATATCAAATCATTGTCAAAATATCACAATATTAAGCCTCAGTTAATCTAACCAGTACATTTCAATCAATTATAATCTTTGCTTTGAGTGTTGTTTTCTTGCTTTTTGTGTATAATAAGTAGAAGGAGAAGACGTACTCTCTGTCCCACACCAGGAGCCATGCCATGTTCATCACCATGTTGCACAGCCAGCAAAAATAGAAGGCATAGGGCAGCAGGCACTGAGCCCAGGATCTATTCGAGGAGAGAGAAATATCAGTTTCCCTTGCATGTTGTAGTGACAGATCTGCACCAGTAAATATTTATATGGCTGTTATGATGTTGGCTTACCCTCTGCATACGTATGAAGTGATGTAAATGACCATCAGGGTGAGCCAGGTATAGATCACTCCCCAGATAGAGAAGGTCCAGCCAGCTGGGGTGATGCCTGTCTCGTAGCGGGACGACACATTTCCTGTATTGGAGTGGAAGGGACCTAGAAAATAACAACGACATTCAGCCACAAGAGCATTAGTGTTCCTCCCAAATGTGCTGGGTGAAGATGAGGTCATGACTCTGTGCAAACTGGTCAAGTTCTTCCACACCAAACTGGGAAGCCTATCTGTTCATGGAGCTAGCATGGTTCATGGGGTTAAATCACAACATGGTCAAACACAAACCTGTAAGAGTACAGCTGTCTAAATATCACTGAATGTTGTAGCATTTACATTTTCTTTAACTCCAGCAAAGGAGTCCAAATCATTTCTGTCCAATGGTGTGGACAGAAATAGCATTTTATATCAACAGGGCTATTTCAGTTTTAAGAACAAAGAGCTCTTTGTGAACATATGGACTGTCTCTAATCAGCTGGATTTCTTTAATCACTGTTACAGAGAATGGGAGATATCAGGACAAAAACATAAAGGAATCCTTTTTTTTTTTTTTTACACACAAACTAAGACAACAAGACATTATCTTGAAGAAAATAGCTGCCTTCCCTTCATACTATACTGCTATGAGCAGCAACAGAAGTATTCACATCCTGTACCAAGTAAAAATAAAGTAAGTAAAGCGACGCAAATATTAGCAGATATCAAATATTTTTCATAAAATGGACACTAATGATTGTTGTTACTGATTTGAATGTGGAAGCAGCATTTCATTGTTGCAGCTACTCCAAGTGGAGCTAGTTTTAATTGCCCCAGTGTATGCAGAGAGTTCAGTCTAATCGTTCTCAAACTAGTAGCTGGGCTCCTCCAGTGAGTCACTGAGGTTTTGGGAGATGACTAAGAGAGCTGGGAGGGAAAGAAAAACATCTGCACACTGATACGTGTCAATTACTTGACTTGTCTAACTTTGCTTTTGTGGAAAGTTGAATAAAAGTAACCCTTTAGACCCTGAACAGTAATTACTAAACCATCTGAGAAATGTCGAAGGGTCATTTTTATGACAAAAAGCCGAATGTAGACCAAGCTTTACTGTTAAACAATTACAGCTTCAAAGTTTAGGAATCACTGGTGTAATCTTTGAAAATGCAGTATTTGTTGTTGTATTTTAAGCACAATCTGAGTATCTGAGTAAAGAGGAGATGTACAAAATAGATTAAACTGAAAAGAGAAAACACAGATTACTCATAACTACAGGACCGTGACACAAAGCATGAAGGAGCAGCTACAATATTGGTCCAACTGATTCAAGATCAGAAGCTTTTCTTACCATATGAATACTCTAATGACATAGAAATGGGACAGTTCTTGAGAAAAGAAGTACATAAAAATACCTGCATGTAAAAACCAAACAGCAGTGACTGACTCACCCCCTTTTTCCTGTTTTCTGGAGTTACAGTGCTCTAGAGAGTGGCCATTCTGATCACATGTGTGACTAAACATTTTCATTAGTTGCCTGACATTGTGTGTAAGTGTTGTTATTATTATTATTATTCCTTGTTTCTTTCTTTTTTATTTTACTATCTGCCATATATGTGACAACAGTGAATTATGTGCGTCTTTTGGGACAACTGAATGGTTTTTATGCACCTTGTTGGTTATTAGGTATGAGGTATATGTGTTTTTATTTGTTAACTTCAGTGCTCTATTTTCTGCTATGCACTATTATCAAATTTTATTTCATATGCTGGTTGTAAAAGCTGTTGATTCCACTACCATGGCCGAGCACAACCATGTGGACCATCAGGTTATGTTTGGTTCATGGAGGGGTCATCAGATTATTTCACTTGGGAGGAACAGGCCAGCAGCCCCCAGTAAAAACGAATGTGCTGCTGATCAGTCAGTAATAAAGCCCTGACTAGTCTTTGCTGGTAGCTTCAAACACACACTACATGCACATTTCAGCCCTTTTGTACTATTCGTCTGCGGGAGAGGATCTGAAAAAGGCAGCTCATTGCATAATGCTGTTTCTTTATCTTTTGGTATCATCAGAATAAACAGATATCTCCTATGTGAGATCACAGAGTTTCACAAGATCTTTTTCATAACAACACAACTCAAAAACCCACCAGTTACACATTTTTGGCAGCACCAAACGGCACAATGATAAATTGTGGGTACGTCGACATTATGTGCTGCTGCAACCAATGTTAAAAGTTAGTCTGGAGCTCTAAATAATCATCACTAACTGACTTTGCATTATCACATAAATGGTGCTCTAGCTCAATCTAATCCTAATGGAGGGAAAAAAAAGTCACGCAACAAGCACACACACAAAGGCAACGTATGCTGTCTCTGCAGCCTCTGACTCCAGCAAAATCCATGTGGTTAAGCTGTAATTAAATCACATTTTTTGAATGCATGTTATTTATAAGACTCAATCTTTTAAACTAGCCCATGTTTTAAATGGTACTGGAAGGAAAAAAGAAGACACATTCTGTTTACAGATGTGTTTGTCTGCCGTCTTTAGCTTGTTCAAACACAGAGAGTGCAGTATTGAAATGCTGTGTTTTAGGTTTTAGGTAACATTAATGATGATTAAGAAGCACACTGCTTCCTTATCTCACTGTATTTCACTATTTACAGCGAACACTACAAGAAAAGATCTGGAATTTACGAGGAAATAAAGGGCGGTGTCAGGAATTAAAAAGCACATAAGCTTGCCTGGGAACCATCAGGTTCTTGCAGTTTCTTGTACATCTCAGTATGTCAGCCACAGCTGTCATTACATCTAATACATAGCAAAAAGAAAGCATTGATGGCCAATTCAACGTATTAAACTTTCTAAGATGGAAACCAGTAGAGGCCACACAGTCTAACTCTACGTATTCACATTAAACTTCCTACTTCTGGTTAAAGTCTAGCGTTCACAAAAGGCCTGTAACGTGACATTTTCTAAAACTGCTTGTTTGGAAAAATACTTTCAGTCACGTTACACCATCGCCCCTGGACTTTCATATAGAATGGATAGCCCACTTAACCTTGACACATAACTATGAAACAGTAAGTCAAGGTCCAACTGTAATATATATTGTATACTTTTTCCTTTTGTGAATTCAATGCACTTCCATAATGGAAAAAGCATGCAAGAAATCACAGTTTTTAAACATCAGTGGGAAACTTTGGCTTCAAGCCTTCAAACAACAAAACCCCTTTGTCTCTTCCTCACTGTTTGCGTAGTTCCTTTTCTCTCTAAGTCAGAGTATTTCTGTAAATCAACCTTGGTCCTGTCAACCACTTACTGCCTGATAATCCTAAGACCACTAGCCCATTTCTGGGAACTAAAGCGGGTGGCTAAAAATAAAAAAGAATGCAATAAATATATCAAAAAGAAGTAAAAAGAAAAATGCAGTGCTCCAGTGTGCCAGCAAACTGAGGAAGGAAAATATCTCCTCCACTTGGGAGCCACACCCTGCACATGGATGGCAGATTTTTTTCCACTTGTGGAGGTCACCTGAGGTACTGTTTTACCATTCTTTTAGTTCATTTGGACGATTTTTTGGTCCACATTTGCTCTAATAAAACCATTTTTTTCACAGTTGCTTTGAAATATATATTGCTGTGAGCATCAAAAAACTAAATAAAACTAGATTTAATCAATTAATTAATTTAAAGACTTATCTTAAGAGCTTACCCCTTATTAAAAATGCACCGTGGCTCTTTGATTTGCTGTTACCACAACTTTGAGTGATTATGTAACGAGCAGCTAATGATGCTAACTTGCAGATGCTCAGTCATGGAAGTTAGTGCTCGTTGTTTAGCGGAGCTGAAGCTAACAGCAGGATGAGCAGCTCCGTTAGTTAACTGGGAGGAAAAAAAACTGTTTCGTAACCGGTGAAAACACAGTTGTGTAAGCAGAAAACGCAACCCATGTGTATTAAAACAAGCTAAACATGCGAGAAAGACCGTAAAAGAGCCACTGTCGGAGCGTTTTGTTTTATATATATATACAGAAGCGTCAAGTTAACTTTGAAGCTAGCAGGAAACATTCAAATATGTCGCTTATTGAACTCACCTCGTCCCGCTCCGGCCAACGCGTTAACGACTAACAGCGCAACAAAAACTGCCGCACACAAGATAATAACAAAAATGCGTGACAAACTGTTGTGCTTCATGTTTGCTGGTGGGCTGTTCGTGAGTCTGTGCTGCTCGTCGGGCTGTCAGAGACCGTCAGGGCGGACACACACGAACACAACAACACAACCGCACGTTGACTCGGTGATGCCTTCACGTGTTCCTTGTAAACGCCCCCAGACCCGGCGCTCAGTTAGCGGTTTAGCCTTTATTTTTTTATTTATTATTGTGTATGTAAATCCCTATGCATGTTGTTAATGTGGCCATCAATACTTATTGGACTGAAAATCAGGAAAATTATTTTTTATTTATTTATTTATTTTTTATCCTTATGTAGTTTGTGGTTTTTTGGGAGGCAGATGTGTGTGAAATTTGAGACGTAATGGCGACCTCCACAGGCGAAGAGCGGACTTGAACACAGCACCACTCAGCTGCTCTAAAAATCCTATCACATTAATTTTTTGCAAACAAAACAAAACAAAACAAAAAAACACAAAAACTGCAGAAAAAACCATCTGAAACAATTGTTCCAAGTTATGCTGTTTTAATTGTTGATTTTACAGCGTAAATTACATCAAGGTTTTGTTGTGACATCAGTTCACGGTGCACAAACACAAACGTGCACAGTCTGGAACAGTGTTGATCAGTCTGAGACACTTTCTTTTTGTGCACACAGAATAGACCAGAGTATATATTAGACTAGCTGACTTCATCAGTTTGCTATCACTCATCAATAATGTTGTTATTTCTTTTTATCATGACACATTTTGCATAACAACAACGTCAAAGTTCACTTCAGTTGATTTTTTCCCGCCTTTTCCTTCATGAACGGTCAATTGAGTAAATGATCAAGTCCAAATAGATGTTTCTCATAAAGACAACAGTATATACATTTATTTTGGATATCACAATAGTTATGATAGAGCAAAAGTCTTACTGGACAAAGTTAATTGATATGAACACAACCACAGAGCGATTAAAACTATATTATGTAACACAGTCAAACATTTCTAGAAAGAGAAACATGAAACATCCATAATGACAATGCTGGTATTATTAAAAATAAAATGTGTGTTGACATGGTTGTCAGATGTGATTTAATGATCAAAAAGTTTTACAAAATATGGCTTAGATTCCTTTTACACATAAGAATGTTCTCTGTCTAACAAAAAAAACCCAACAAAAAACTATAGAGGTGATAAACTGCACGTTGTCAAAACTACAACATGATAAAAGAATACAAAGAAAATGAAACATTACAATCATTCAGTACATCATACAAACTCCAATGATTAAAAATAAGCCACATAAAACTGTTTTATTGTACACATTTCATGCATATTGGAAAACAGGCTTAAAAATTACATCCCTCTAAGAAAAAAACTTTATCTGTATAAAACTTTAAAATAGTAAAAATATAAAGAAAAACATTAAAAGTGAGGTTCAATGAAGCAGTGATTGATGTGTGAAGACATGTTCTGTGTTTGTCTATATCTGCAGGAACATGTTGTTATTTTCTACAAATCCTACTTTGTGGACGTGATTGTGATTATTGTTCTTTTTCCCTGTTTTTGGTTTATGAGGTTACTTGAAATCAGACACCGTTTGCAGTCAAACCATCTTTTTCATTTCGTGGTCTGCTGAGTTTCCTCATTTCTCAGCTACAGACAAAATCACATACTGTATCTGTAAAAGCTGTTTGTTCAGGCTTGGATTCATGAGTTACTGGTTGCATTGATTCACTCACACATTTCGTCCAGACTTTGAATGGCTTGGTCCTTAGTGATAGAGTGCCACTCAGATGGAATTGCTCCTAGCCCCTGGAATTCTTTGTTATAGTAGTCCTCCAGTTGCTTTTGAAATCGACACACAAACCATTTCCAGTAGGCCAGTTTGGAGTCATCAGGGGTGATCCTCCAGTTGGCGTATTCTGGACCAGCAAGTCTGTATTGTTTGAAGGGAAAGGTTGTCTCTGAGTCATAATGAGGGTAAAAACTGCCATCACTTGCAACATTTGTTGTGCAGAAATTGATGCACATCTCCACTGTGCCTTTGGAGTGCCATCCGTTGATCCCAGAGGGTCGATGAAAAGGGACGCTGTGGTCGTCAGGACTGTGACCTTCAATGGTGTTGGTGCAAACAGCTGAGCAGAACGGACACTTCACCCAGCAGCACTTACACAGCTGATCGATGAGGATTTCATCAGGCATGTGTCTGGATTTCTTAATCTTATACAATGAGAGTGTCTTCAACTCCTCAATGATTGACTGCAGTCCATTATTCACTTCTTCCTGGAGAAAGTCAAAATTGTTTATGTCACGAAAGTTTTGACAACAAATGGCATCAAACTTGAGCACATCACTGAACCAGCTGGTAAATTCTGATATCCACATGGCTGTGTCTCCTCCCTGGGTTTGGACTTTCTGTGTTGCAGCAGATAAAGCTTGACTTACAAAGGTGTGGATGTCATCAACATTTTTCTTGAGTATATTCTTTGCTTTATCTTTTTGTTCTTTGAAGATGTATTTCTTTACTTTCGCTTTTATAAAAGCCTCTGCTTGGGCCCTTGGATTTCTGATGTAGGTCATGAAACCATCAAAGTTTTCGTTCTCAGCGAGCGACTTCAGCA